GAATAGACTATGGGGGTAAGGATGGAGGTAGGGAGACCTGTTTGGATCCTGTAATTTAGAAAAGAGGCCATGACGATAGACTGGACCACGGTGATGACAGCGGAGGTGGTGAGCATGTTGAATTATGAATCTGTTTTTGAAGTAGAGATAATAGCATTTGCTGATGTATTTGCTATGGGATTTGAGAAAAAAAGAGCGATGAAGGAGGGTTTGAAGGTTTTGGCCTGAGCAGCTGGAANATTTCTACAGTTTCTAAAATTTGGCATTCTCATCTAGTGAACAAATGAATTAAAATAACCACTAAGGAAGCTTTCAAATGTAACCAGAGAACAGATGGAAGCAAAGATGATGAGGAAATTTTGCTTGAGTTGCTACATCTCAAAGGACTAGGAAATTGATATAAGTGTTGAGCTTTTGTTTTGCTTGGAGTGGGAATTCTTTCCTTTCTAGAAGTGCTCAGACCTGACTCACTGTGCTCAGAGCATGAGTTGAGAGTCTAGTAGGGTCCTACCCACCATCACTGCTCAATCAATGGTGAATAACTGGCTGGAACATAAAGCAGAGGACTGTGGTCTTTTCTCTTTGTCTTCATGGTTCTCAGAGAGTGAGAATTTTCATGTCTCCTAGTTCATTATGTGTTTCAGCTTATCAATTTGAAAACAGATATAATATTTAATCATTCATTCTACAGTATTAATTGAATTCCTACTTGTACCAGGCTCTGTTCCAAGAGTTGGGGAATATATCAAAGAACAAAACAGACCCAAAAACCAAACTATCCCTGGAGCGTAACAAAAAAAGTAAATTATATGTTATGTCAGAAGGTGGTAAGGCTATTAAAAAAAACAGAGCAGAGTAAGAGGGAGAGCTGGGGAGTCAGGTGATGGGCTGCAGTTTTGAATAGGGGGTCAATGTGGGCTTCACTGAGAAGGTGACATTTAAGGAAGACTTGAAGAAAAGGAAAAAGCGAGTTATCTGGAAGAAGAACAGACCTGATAGAGCAACAGCCAGTGCAGAGGCCCTGAGGCAAAAGAGTGCTTGTGTGTTTAAGGCATGGGTCTCACAGTGTGGTGCCCAGAACAGCAGCATCTACAACATTGCATCACCTGGGAATATGTTGGAA